GACAGGAAAACAAACACAAGTGATGAGGAGGAACCACACGGGAACATGGGCACAGGGATATGGAGGAAGAGAGAAAACCATGGAGAGAGAGGGACGAAGTGAGAACACGATCAAGCGAATACCCCGAAACCAAACAGTGGGGATTCGTTGTTAGACCAGGAACACTTGATACTATCAAACCAAGGTTATTTTAAAGAAATCACAAACGTATCGTAAATCACGGACAGCAGGAGAGGAGAGGAGATGCAACATGAAAACAGGGAGATGTATTTAGATTCTTCGGCATCTGTATCGACATGAAAAGCGTTCATGAAATACTTTTGGTTTGTGCTCATTTATTCAAGCAAATAACTTCGGAAATTCGCCCGACTAGCAAATTCAGCATTTGTAAAATACAACACTGTATTAGGCTCTAACTAACAACAACAAAAAGAAACAACTCGAAAACAAAACCCAGTCTCTGGGGGGGGACTAAGCAGTAATTGATTTTAACGATTGAGGCAATCATGTGCGCCCTGAGGTGACGTTGAAAGTCGTCGAAAGCAAGCACAACAATCCATCTTTCTGGGAAAGGGGGCTGGCGAGGGGAGAGGAGGTCAGCGAGAACTTCGATCGGTAATTTGTGAGCAACACCCGAAAATGATGCCCAAATTGCTTCCTTAGTCCAACTCCATCCCCCAAAAAACAAACAAACAAATCCAGCTAAAACCACGTCGACGGTCAAACCTCAGCAACCGATCTGCTAAGGTGAGCTGGTATGCCAAAGCAAATGTTGAGAACTATGGTATTCGACAAACTATCACTCTACTTTTATAAATTTATTGTACGTGGCTATGTTTATTCACAATCGAAGATCAGAAACCGGCGAAACGCGAAAGAACAGTCTACAATTCCAGCCCGATCAATAATAAATGGTTCGAGCCTGCGTTCATCGTTCAGAGAAAATGTGTGTGTGTGTGTGTATTTCAGAAGACATGATAGCAAATCATCAAATCCCATGCAATTTTCGACGGAAAAATTTTCACTCAAACATACTATACAGAATTCAGATTTATTTATTTTTCGCTAAAACCTGTTTGCCCTTCTCGAAATACCGTATTCGATTTCAGGCTCAAAACTATCACAATAACCGATCAATTTCAGGCACGTGATAGGCACATTCCAGCCGTAATAGGGACTTACTCTGCAGGCGTGATGAAATCTGGACTAATATCATTCAACACCCAATTGCCCGAGGTATAATGACGTTTCAGGAACTCCACCAACGCGGCTTTGGTTTCCGGTGTTTTGCCCAGCTCCCACTGATCGCTCGTTTTGGACCAACACGATTCACAGATCGATCGTGGCGGATACTCAACTTTCGGTGCTTGTGGATCCTCGGTTGGCTGACGTTCTAATCGTTTGTTGACTCCATTGTGCGCGGCGTTCAGCCACAGAATTTGATCATCACAGGTGATTGGGACCGGAGGGAGCGTATCCAATGGTTTGTAGTCCACAAAATCGCTTGTCTTTGGCCAAGCACGATTTGTGGGAATCTTTGTCTCACCCGGAAGAAGCACCGGGGCCGAATTCAATGCAAAGTGATAGGCACATTCGAGACAGGAGAAAAATCGAGGCAAGAAACGATTCATTGCGTGCAGCACTGCAGTCGGTTTCATTTCTTCAAGGACACAAAGCGTTCGACAGTCCCAAATGAAGGCGAAAACGATCGAAAATGAATGAAATCGGTTATTTACGGCAGATAAATAACGTCTGTCTTGTGAATTTACAGGAAAGAATTAATTGAACATTACTGATGACCTGGGACCCTTTGAAAAAATATTTACCATCAAAGCCTACAGAGCAACTAGAAGAAGAGCTACATTATGTCAGCTGTTTTTCAAACATTTAGGATAGAAATCGTAAGATGTGTACCAACCGTCATTCATTCAGTTTTGAGCGAACAAGCAGAGCTGTTCATAAAGGAAGCTGATTGCTCTGACTTTTAACGGCACGGATTTACTCCCAAATGAATCCCAATGTATGGTCACCATAGATTGTGATTCGTATGTGACACCGTACTGCAGACTGGAGAGATCCAAACATTCTGCGTGTGTTCAATTAACTCGTGATATCGCTAAGTCAATAGGCCCATTCCAACCTTGCTCAATTTCGATTTTTGTTTGAAACATACTGATAACGACACGGGTGGACGAAATCAAGTTCCACATTAGACACAACAAAAAGTGTAAGATGCTTCATTGTGTGATGGGAATTACGCACACTGGACCTACCTGTACTCTGTTCAAAACCCATCAATTCATGAGAGTTCCTAACCACCTCGCGGTTTGATAACCTTTGCCCGCCGGATCGGAACTTGCTACGTTCCGTCTCCATGGCCATTCAGTTCGCACTTTTCCATATTTTCCCTATGATTACCTAACCTCCCAATATAGCAATTTTCGTGTTAATTGTTGTGACCCGTTCTTCGTTCAACCTGTTATCGTAATCTATTATCTTAAGCCCATATGGAAACTGTGTCTTAGTACCTGTCGTCACTCGTTCTGCGCTCAACCCACTATCGTTACCTATTACCTCGACTCGGTATAGAAACTGTCTCGTATTATTATGATCACCTTTTCATCACCCACCCGTCTTCAATGTTGTCACTCGTTCATTCTTTTCTCGCAATCAGCTATTTTTTGACCCACCTGCTACCGCCCGCCTTAATCACCCAGACACCTTCCTGGTGTCCATTATCTAT